GTAGGCGTCAGCCAAAGATTCTGATCTCTTGGCGTCGGCGCTCCCACTGGCGTTTTGGCCGAAAGAGGTCGCGCCCCTGGACTGCCTTATTCATCTGCACTCGCAATGTTGTCGAGTTCCCGAGGGGCCCGCGGTGGCCAGCGGGTTCTGCCAATTGTCTTGGCTTAGTACTTAGTGCCACTTTTGCTGGCCACGGGCTCGCGATGAGTCTCTCGATTGGGTGCAGAGAGCGGCGACCAGAAGCGACGTAGAAAGGAGCGCATTCACTCGCGCACCACTCTTCCCTGCTATTGTGGAGCCCACAGGCTGCCATCTCCGATCGAACGCAAAGCGAACAGCCAAGGAATTGAATACACCGCAATCTCTCAAAAAACTCGACATGAAAAGAGCCAGCTTCCCAACTGATGGGAAGGGGACTCCACGGTGCGACATCTGACCCAGGAGGAGGAAGAGGAAGAAGAGTCAGGAGGCACAGCAATGCCAAGAACAATGTGAACGGGCAATTCCGTCCACGGAGAAAAAACACCGTTCTCGAATGGTTGTGAGCACAAGTGCACGTTGCCCGTCCAGGGGCATCGCACCCACGAGGGAGAGAGGAATCCAGGGAGAGGGAGTGAAGGAGGGAGGAGTCCAGGGACGAGGGAGTGAGGGAGGGACCTCCGCCTCCCCTGGACCGTCACTGTCCGTGGGGCCGAGATTCGGCGGCGTGCCGAGGCGGGAGGCCAGACGGGGCGGGCCTCCTCGCAATGCTCGGAGGGCCCCCAGACCTCTGGAAGGTGTTTTGAAGCTTTTTGTCCGAGTCCCCGCCGCCTTCTGAGGAGGGCCTGCCCCTCGCGCCCCCCCTCGGCGCGCCGCCGAAAGATGGGGCATGGGATCGGCTGCACCTTCAGGCCCCCCCGTCTGTCTTCCGAACGGATCGCCCCTCAGGCCGCCCCTCTGCTGAGTCATTGAACCGCTTCGCTCACTCCGCCGGCCCACAGTCTCGCCGCTGTGGTCTGTCTCGGTGTTGTTGTCGAATCTGTGCCGCTGGGAGGCTGGCATCTTCTGGAGGCGGGGCGTGGAAGCCTTTGGATGCCTCTTGGAGGCTGTGTTTGGGTTCTTGGGGCCTCTTCTTGAGTCTCTTGAGGGCTTCTTTGAGCCTCTTGCTCTTGTGGGCTTCTCGGGGGCCTCTTGGTGAGTCTCTTGGAGGCTTCGTGGGGCCTCTTGAGGGCTTCTCGGGGCCTGCTGGCGGTCTCGGAGGTGGCCCGTGGGGCGGAAATATTGAAATTCCATTTCGAGTTTCCCCTCTCGGGCATCTCTTGTGGCCGTCTTGGGCGCCTCTTTGGCCGTCTTGGTGTCCTCTTGGGCCGTCTTGGGGCCCCTCTTGGGCCCTCGTTGGCTCATCTTGGGGGCCTGTTGGGCCGTCTGGGGGCGTTCTTGGGGGCCTCTCGGGCAGTTGTGGACGCGGTGACACTCCAAACGTCGTATATGCGACAAGTTAACGTTTTTTCCCAACCATCCTGTGGTGTTGGGTCCTCGTTTTGAAGTCCCCGCATTCCTTTTCTCCCCTCCCTCCTTCTTCCATGCGTTTCACTAACCCAGCACAGCGTTTCGTGGCCCCACAGGGAGCTCCACCGAAGCCCCCAGTGGGACCGCCCGCATGCGTCCGCCACCACCCAGCAGAGCCCTTGCTCCCTGCGTTGCACCCACCCAGCACAGCGCTTCGTGGCCCCATAGGGAGCTCCACCGAAGGTCCCAGTGGGACCGCCCGCATGAGTCCGCCACCACCCAGTACAGCCATTGCTCCCTTCGTTTCACCCACCCAGTACAGCGTTTCGTGGCCCCATAGGGGGCTCCACCGAAGGTACCAGTGGCACCGCCCGCATGCGCCCGCCACCACCCAGTACAGCCATTGCTCCCTTCATTTCACCCACCCAGTACAGCGTTTCGTGGCCCCATAAAAGGGGCCTCCACCGACGGTCCCAGTGGCACCGCCCGCATGCGTCCGCCACCACCCAACACGGCCCTTGCTCTCTGCGTTTCGGATGTTTGCTGGGATATCGTGGGAGGCCTTTTTTCCCGGGGCCTGGTGGAGGCAGTTCGAGGCCTTTTGGGGACTGTCGGTGGATTTCGGGGCCTAGGCCTCTTGGGTGCCTCGTTGGGGCTTAGGGGGGTTCTTGGAGGCAGTTTTGGGGCGGCCGTCTGGGGGGCCTCTGTGGGCCTCATAGGGGGCCTCTTGGGGCTCCCTGGGGGCCTCTTCAGGCTGGCCTCGGGAACGGAAGTATTGCGTATTGTACGAGGGTATTTGGCTTCGGGGACACGAATACGGCGTATTTTGCAAGGGCTTATGGTTTCGGGGGCGCAGATGTTGTGTAATTCGCGAGGGTCTATGGCCTCTGCCCTCGGAGACGCGAATATTGTGCAATTTCCGAAGGCTCGTATTGTCGGTTAGTCTTCCCTCTTTCGGGGCCGAGTTGTGGTTCTTTTGGGCTGATTTGGGCGCCTCTGGGGCCGTTTGGGGGCCCTCTGGGGACGTCTTGAGAACGTGTCGGCGGCATTTTGGGCCGTCTGGGGGCGGCCTTGGGGGGTCATTGGGGCCGTTTTGTATCGTTGGAGGTTAGGAAAGGCGACAACGTGAAACACATAAGAAAGCACGGTGGACGTCGTTGATTGTTGCTTTTTGGGGCCCCCTTGGGTTCTGAGGAATTATTTCGGCCTTTCTTGGATTTTGCCCGAGGACCACCGGGAATAGGGATTGTGCGTGCACCTCCGACTGCAGTCGGCTGGGTGTGACCGGGAGGATGGGGGCGTCCCTGTGGAGACTACAGAACCCTTGCCAGGCAGCCTCCGGCATTCTTGCATGCATCAACGTGCCGCAGGCACGGTGATGGATTACCATCCAGTGGCCTTCGGCCCATGTGGTTTCTTCTGGGCCTCGTGGGGCCTCGTGGTGACTTTGGGGGTTTGTTGGCGATCTCGGGGGCCCCCTCGTGGCGGAGGGCCCGAAATCTCAGCTCGAGTTCCCCATCGTAGGACCGTCTTGGGCGCCTCTTGTGCCGTCTTGGGGGCCTCTTGAGCCGTCTTAGGCAGATGTTGGGGGCTTCGTTGGCCGTTTTTGACACTGTGACAGCCCAATAGAAGGATGTGTTGAACATATAGGGTTCCTTTTTGGAGCATGGGGCGATGTTTGCCTTTGGGGATCTCTCGGGGCCCTCGTGAGGCTTCATGTGGGCCACGCGGGTCGAGTTCGGGCCACACTTGGCAGTCTGGAAGCTGTCTCGGGCCGCTCCGGGGCAATTTTTGGCTATCTGAGGCGATTCCGTGGACGCTCTTGAGGGTTCGGAAGGTCGTCCTAGGCTGGCCGATAAGCTCCAGGGAACCCGTAGGAACCCCGAGGAAGAGCTCCTAGGAAATCTCCGGAAATTGGGGTCTGGGCCGCCAGAAACTTGCAAACCCTCTACCCCTCAGGGCTGCAGGCCTGCATTAGCCTGGAGACACCCCATTACGTGCTGAAGGCACGGTGGCGGAGTATCATTATTATTGTTATTAGTGTTGGTCTTCCCGTTATTCGCATTAGCAGTGTTGTCCCATTCATCGCGTTACGATGTTTACTATTACATAGTTGCCTGCCTCAACGTGCCAGCCCAGCATTCTCGGTGGCAGTTGTTCGAGGGTGGGGGAGCAATGATGCGGATGAGGATGAGGTGATGATGTTGATGATGGTGATTCTGATGTTGCGGTGCTGAAGATGACGATTTCGGTGATGATCCTCCTGATGATTGTGGTGGCGATCATGAGGATGATGATCGATCATGGTGGTTGTGATGATAAGAATGTTGACGACGATGACTAAGATTCTGCTGCTGTTGATGGTGGTGGTGATAGTGGCGATGATGATGATGATGATGATGATGATGATGATGATGATGATGATGATGATGAGGATGCGGATGCGGATGCTGATTATGATGATGATGATGATGATGATGATGATGATGATGATGATGAGGATGATTATAATGTTGGTGGTGGTGGTGAGGCTGATGCTTGCGCTGATGATGCAGGTGAGGATGAAGATGAAGGTGAATCCGCTGATGATGATGAGGCTTATGATGCTGATGATGATGCTAATGATGCTGCTGGTGATGATGCTGATGATGATGTTGATGATGCCGATGTTGATGATTGTGCCGCTGACGCTGATGATAATGAGGAGGAAGAGGAGGGAGAGGATGAGGATGATAATGAGGATAGTGATGAGGATGAGGATGCTGATGATGATGAGGAGGAGGAGGAGGGGGAGGAGAAGGAGACGGAGGAGGAGGAGGAGATGGACGAGGAGGAGGAGGAGGAGGAGGACGGGGAGGAGGAGGGGGAGGAGGAGGAAGACCGTCACATGTGACACATTTCGACTTCACCGTTTAAGGAGCTGTCGTCGAACTCGTTTGGGCCGTCATGGGTTGGGGCGCTCGTGGGCCGTTTTGGAGCACTCTTACGCCGTCTCGGGGCTATCGTGGGCCGCCTTGTGGGCCCTCTTGAGGGTATGGTGGGTGCCTGAGGGCCGTCGTGGGGCAGTCTTGGACCGACGAAAGGCTTGCTGAGGCTGTCGTGAGAGGCCCACGAGGGGCCTTTTTGGGCCGTCTTCTGTGTTTCCTGTGCATTGCCGCTTCGGGAGCGGGAACCTGCCGTATTTTACGAGGGGTTGTGGCCTCGGCGGCGCGACCTTGCCATGCCTTCTATTTATGGCCTCGGGAGTGCGAACCTGCTGTACGTTGCAAGAGACTGGACTCGGGAGAGGGGGCGATGCGCACGAGGCAGTGTGGGGAGGGGTGGGGCTCCAGAAGACTGCTGGGAACCCTGCCAATGCCAGGCAGCATTTGGCGTTCTAGCACGCCTCAACGTGCCAGGGGGCATGGTAGCGGATGATTCGGAGCTCTGGTTTGATTCTTATTGGTGTTCTTCCTTCACCTTCCATCCCCTCGGCGGGAGGCGCTGGGAGAGGCAGAGCGGGAACGCCTGAGGTCCCAGTCCAGCGTCATCTTCCGCGGCCTCGCTCGCACGGTGGAGGCTGGGGCGCGCCAGTTGTGCCCCCGGCGCGACGCCTGGCCAGGCCCACCCAAGTCAGGTGACGATCAGGGGCGTGTGGATCACATGGCTTGGGCCATAGAATTTTGCGAGATTACATGTCCCCCTTGCCCCCTTCGTCCGCGCACATGCCTCGTGCCATGATGCGCTGGCCCCCCCCTCTTCCTCGCTTGGGCCGGCTCAAGTTGAGGACATGTCGCTCCAGAGCGTTCCGGGACGCTCTCGGATCGTCCCGCAGCGCTCTGGAACGACCGCGGCGCCAGATATTCGGGCGGACGACAACTGGACGGCAATATTCATGGGGCGGTCGAGGCGTACAGGAAAGTGGCCGTTCAGTTGCCCTGAATGGCCCCGAATTGCCAGCAGGGGCTCAACATGTGCATGAACGGTGCATGTTGCATTTCTCTTCGCACCACGTGTGCAACCTCCTCATGAACGAACACCCGAGATATATGATCCAGTGCACCAGTCCCCCCCTCCAATGCTGATAGGATCGCCCCCCCACCACGCGATGGGTCTTCCCCTGTGGTCGTGGCCCTGTGCGCGTGGCGTGGTCGTCGTCGTCATCGTCGTCGTCGTGTTCGTGGTCGTCGTCGTCGTCGTCCCCTCCCCATCCCATCAGGGGTGCGGTGGAGAGACGGTGAGCCCTCGGGGCCATCCAAAAAGGGGAGAAGGGGGCCTGTGAACCCTCGAGCCCATATTTAAATATAGAGACAACCGATAGGACCACCCTATGGGTGATAAGGAGGTTGGGGGGAAGGGGGAGGCGGTCGATGTGCGATGACTCCCACCTGCCGCCACCAAAGAGTGCGCGGGCAAATCAATTCCACATATTTCCGCTTGCAGCTATCGAACTAATCCTTATCTGTATATTCCTGTTTGTTATCTATGCACCAATCGTTTGTATCTACCACCTCATCAGTAGATCGATCTACCCAGCCGAACCATTTACCAGTATTTTAATATACCTACCTATCGGGACAACCATCGGGACAACCTTCCGCTCATTTCCCAAAACCTCCGATTTGTGTATATTTATATAACTATAAATATATTTACCTATATGTGTATATGTGTATATTTCCACCAAGCTATATGTGCATATATATATATATATATAGATGCTATATCTGAGTATCAGTCGATCGATCCATATATATATATATACATCTATATATACATAAAAATGTATACAAGACTGCAGTGGCGCTTCGCGCCATGCACCTTGGTCCTTGAAGTTTGGTATGCAGGCGGAATCGCAGGAAGGTCGAGCCGACAATTTAGCGATAACTCCTTGTTGCCTTTCCTGGCATCGCCGCTATAATAATGTTTTCGGTATCCTTCCTCCATGCTTCTTTTTCCTCATTTCCGCCATACCCTGGCATTCTGTCCATCCTCCTCAGCTCTTTTTTGCGGAGGCTCCTCCTTGGAGAGCTTTTGGGGCCTCACACAAGTTGTTTCAGGCTTAAGGCCTTCTGGAGGCCCCCTGGGCGTATTCTGGGGGCATCCGGGGGCTTCCTCGGGCCACCCTGCCTCCAACCGCGGTCTCCCTGAACGACCGGGTCACGATTTCCAATGCTTCGGAGGGTGTCTTTGGGCCATCTTGGGCCGCCATGGGGCTCTCTGAGGGCCATCTTGGACCCGTGTTGTGCCGTTTTGGGGCTCTCTTGGATTGCTTGAAGCCCTTTCGGATGTTTGTCGGGCGATTTGGGAGCCTCCCAGGCGGCTTCGGACGCCCAGAAGACCGCCGTCTTGGAGCGTCGGGAAGCCGAAAAGAGGAAAACCCCTAAATTCAACAAAAACCAACAGAAAATCAGTGATTTTTGCCTGGGGGGCCTTCTTGGAAATGCTCGTCGGTCAGTCTTGAAGCGCTCTCGTGCTGTCTTGGGGGTCTCTGGGACGTCTCCGATGACCCTCCTGATCGCCTTAGGTGTGCTGGGAAGGCTTGGCAAAACGCCGTGTGACGACCTCCCTTCTCTCTCCACCTCCCCTTCTGCTCTCCACCTCCGTTCTCCGATCGCGCGGCCAGCGGCCGTCCCTCAGCCCATGGGGATAGGCCTGGCCAGGGATCGGGCGTCGGCGTGCAGCCAGCCAGCCTGCGGAGGGGTCGCCGCCCGCGTCGCCGCCGGGGTCCGCGTGCACGCCCTCGACCGCGTCGTCCCAGCTAGGGCGCCTGCAGGCCAGGAGGGGCGGCGAAGGGAGGATCAGAGGAGAAGGTGCCGATAGCACTGCTTGTCAGTACCTTGCGCCCCCCCCCCCCGCACACCCACAAGATGGACCCAGATCTCTGCGGGTATGTTTTTCTCAGTCCGAGCGTTGTTCCTCGAATCCAGTCCCTCGGGCCCGTTATCGAGCTCACGGGGCCATCACAAATGGGCCCGAGGCGCAAAGCGAGCTCCAGGGAGCCTCTGGGGCTACGCATTAGCAAACGTCATAGGAGGAGCATCTTCCAGTTCCCGCTGCGCGTCCCCCGTCGCCACGGCTGGATTTGCTTCGACATCTTGGTCAGAACGCACCTTGGGAGAGGTTTGGGGAGTACCGGTATCGGTACTCGTTCGGTCACTCCCCCTTCCCCTGAGGAGGAGGAGGAGAGATTCAGAGGAGGGGCGCGAGAGAGGCCGGACGAGGTAGGAGAGAGGCGCCGAAGGACAGAGGAGGGGCTCCTGCGGCTCGCCCACAGGAATTTGTGCGCAGCCAGGCCGACGATCTCGAGGAGCTGGCGCCTCGGCCCCGCCTGCGAGTCGTCGTCGTCGTCGTCGCCGCCGATCGTTACGATCGAGATTAGGAGGGGTAACGATGCTGACGAGGACCAGCAGCAGCTCCTGTCCATTCTGAACCGGACTCGCCGTCGGTGTCGCCGCGGACGTGGTCGTCTTGAGACAAAATCGCCTGCCCAATAGCGGCCGCAGACGGTTTTGGACAACCTTCTGTTGTTGGGCATCGTACATACTGTTTCCGTACCCGTTTCGGGTGCGCCAAGCCGATATTGCTGTCGTCATTCATTCATTGATTCGCAGGTCTCGCATTGCCATTCAACAGGAATGACCCGCGCTTCATCGCCATCATTGAAACCTTGCGCACAGCGTTTCTCACAAAGGTTCAGGATGATCAGCGCTATAAGACCGAAGAGGTCTACAACGTACACCGCTGACCCGTGCTTTCTAGATGCGCATGTGTTCTAAATTGTCGAGCAAAGGAATGGCCGTACAAAAGGACTAAATGTTCCCCCAGCGTTTTGGGAAACCATTGAGGAGACTGGGGAGGAGCTCCTTTCGGGGCTCCTTTCTTGCCATTAGGGCCTTCCTGAGGGCCTCTTGAGGCTCTCCTGGGCTGCCCGTTTGGGCTTCCTTGGACTGTCTTGGGGTGCTCTCGGGTCTTCTGGCGCCTTCCGAGACCGTCTTTGTGGCTCAGCTGGACCGTCTTGAGGGACTCTTGGGGCTTCTTGCGGCCGTCTTGGGACTCTCTTGGGCCGTCTTGGGGGCCCCCCTTTGCCATCTTCTGATCGTCTTGGCAGTCTCTGGGCTGTCCGCCTTGGAGGCCCCTTGGGCCCTCCTGGGCCGCTGTCCAGGCCCACCAGGGACGTCTACGATGATCGCAGGGCCGAGAGGACGCGCTTGCGTGAAGCCGGGGCGGGGATTCCGGAAAGGGTTGGGGGGGGGGAGGGCCCAGAGATCAGACGCATTGATTTCTTTGTTTTAGTATGGAGCCCCAGGAAGTCCTGGCCGGCCTTCTCCCTGTGGTTGGCTTGTCATCCCGAGTCGGTTCCTAACGGTCCCGAGGCCCCGCGAGCCTCCCCAGAGGCAGGCAACGTGGAATCAGTAAAAAATGGGTGCATGTCCTTAGACAGCTCGTGAGTAGGGGTCCTATAGAAGGTTTGAGGCTGGCAAGTGGGTTGCGCGATCATGAGTCCGTGGCCCGAGGTCTCTGGTCGTGGTCTACGGTCGCGGCCCGTGGTCTCTGTTCGTGGCCCGTGGTCTCCGGCCGTTGTCTATGGTCGCTACCCGTCTCCTCTTGGGACCTCTGGTCGCGTCACGTGGTCTCTGGCCTCCAGTTCTGCAGACAGAATCTCGCACAGCACATCATAGCATCAGGGCAGCCACTCTACAGAAGTGCATGTTGCGGTAGTCCGACGACCCGTGCCAAGGGCGTAGCTTCAACACGCTGGAGGTCTGCCCCTTCAGTCTGAGAAGACCCTCACATGCAGCCGGTTCCAGCACCCCTGCGCGTGCCGAAACCATGCCCCGCGCGGTCTGACCTCCCGCGCCCCCCGCAGGACAGCCCGTTCCTTTCCCTTTCAGTCACGACGCGAACCTGCCGGCCTGGGGGACGGCTCCGCTCCCCGTGCTCCCGCCCCGTGTTAAGGGACTGGCGCGGCTGTGGCTGCGGCTCCGCTGCCCTCCTGCGAGCGGGTGGGAAGAAGCAGGGGGAGAGTCGACCATCGTCGTCGATCTGTACCGGCTGTCCATGTGACAGAGTCTGGGTTGAGTGCAAGCCGGGGCACTCATGTGGGCATCCTTTCCGACTGGGCAGCCAGTAGTTCAAGGAGTCCCTGGTGAGTTGGGAAGGTCGGTGGGCCCGCCCGTGCCTCGTGCGAGCGCTCCCGCGCGGGATTGTCGTCGTCGATTCAGTGTGTCCTCCCGACCCACTTGCTCCCTCGGCCTCCGCCCCCCTCGCCGCCGCCCTTCCCCCCTGCGCCGCAGGAGGAGGCGCACAGGGAGCGGGGCGCCTGGCGGGCCGTGCGGTCCTCCCTGGGGCAGGAGCCGCGGAGGGGCCCCCCGCGCGCGCCCGGGGGGGGATCTCAGCTGGACGGCAGGCGCCGAGGGGGTCGGGCAGGGCCCCGGGGGCGCCACCAGTCTCAGAGGAGGGCCAGCTGGCGCAACGGTGGTTGGCCTTCGGGCGGGCACCTCGTCGCCACGGCTGGACGCAGCTCGGATGTCTGGTGCGGTTGGACCTCGCGAGGGGTCTGTGCTCCGATTTCGAGCTGCCGCTGTCTGAACTCGCCCTGCTCCGACGGTAGAGTCGGCGGCGCGCCGAGGTGGTAAGTGGGATCATAGGGCAGGCCTTCTTAGAAGGCGGCGGGGCCTCTCAGAAGCTCTCCAGGAAGTCCTCTGTGGCTTCGGAGAAGGTTCAGTGGGCTTCTCAGATGGGTTGTCACCTGGAAATCGAGGAGAGCTTTTCTGGGCACGTCTCGGAGTCCTGGCGTTAGCTGGGGGGTCATTTTCTAAAGAAAGTGGTGACGTTCGTTATTGGTGACCTCCCTTGGCATTGCCTGGAGGATAGCCGCGGTTCGGTCGGTTCGGAAGCTTCGCAGACGAGTGCGTTTAGTCGGGTCGGTGCGGTCGGTTGGCTTCGGTGCCGCGTCGTTGTAATTATCGGCCGATTGCGGTAGATTCGTGTCTGGGTCAAATGTGGTTTCGTTGTCGGTTCGTTCAGTGTTCGACTGCGCTGTCGCCAAGGACAGCCTTGGGCGCAGGTTCTGTGCGCACGTATCGCTCACGTCTGGGCGACGCAAAGCATAGTCACAGAAGGTTGTTCGATATTCTCGGCCTCTGGAAGCCGTTTCCTGGGCCAGGGAACTTCAGGAAACGCCTCAGTATGGAAAGCGAGCCCAGGGGAATTGGTGCAGACCGTTGGAAGTTCACGCTGTCAATCACGACGTCGGGAGCGTGGGGCTCTGAGTCCTCAATTTGCGCATGCGAAACCCAATTTAGGATGCCATGCGAAATCACTGCATGGCCACAATTCATACTCAATCACGGCGTGCAGCGGCTCCTGGTAGTGGTAGTGGTTGTGAGAAGTGGCTGTGGTGGAGCCGGCTGACGTGGTATGTGTGTTGGTCAGGCGGGCCGAGGACCAGGATGAATCGTTCCAGATCGTTCCAGAACCCACTCAGAGTGTCCGGAGCGCTCTGGAGCGGCCGCGGCGCCAGATACATCCTCCTGGATCTCAGAGGGCCCCGATTCATTCCAAGCCAGCGTTGTCCCAGTCGTGGTTTTGTCTTAGTTGGGTGTAGCAGTATAGTAGCGAATGCGAATGCGAAAGATGTGGTGGTGGTGCAGGTGGCGGTGATAGGCAGCGGTCTTGTCGGCAACACAGTTGCCGTACAGCATCCAGTGGCGGAAGTCGTAATGGCAGGGGCAGTGGTAGCTCTGCCTGCCTGCCGCCTTATGCTGACTTGTTGTGCGCGCAGTCGTAAAGCGTACTGTCTCTCCGTCGCTCCGCAAAGGAGCTCGCCGATCTGAAGGCGCGGTCTCGGCGCGCGGAGGAGGCCGTCGACGAGTTGCGCGGCCACCCACCGAGGGAGGGAGCCTCCAGGGTCCCCAAATGTCGGGAGCGTCCACGAGTGAGGTGAGGACCAGATGTGAGCGGATATCGGGGCTACGACATCTCCCAGATTTCATTTCCCTCCTTTCTCTTTCGTTCTTTCGCTGCTCTCCCTGGTCACCCCTCGTCCGCGCACATGCCTCGGACCAGGATGCAGTACCCCCCCTTCCTGGCCCCCGTCTCCGTCGCACCTGGAAATTGGGCCGGAGCTGGTGGGATCGGAGCATCGTGCCGCATCGCCGATGTCGCATCGCCGAGGCATCGCCGATGTGGCTCGATGTGGAGCGAGATGTTTTCTCAACGCCGACGGCGCTGATGCATCATCGACGTCGCCGATGCATCGGCGTTGCGGCGCTCGGCCGCGCACGCACCTTGTTTTAAATGAGCTTGTTCGTCGGGGTGGTGTACCAGAATCGCGGCCCCAGGGGATGCCGATTTTGTACACAGCCCCCTGTCTACGATCTTGTGCCGGACCAACTTGTCTGGTGGAGGTGGTGTACAAACGTTGTGTTCTTAGGCGCGATTTTTCCAACCCATCCACTTTAATCCCCCTTGGGAGGCCTCCAGAGTCCGGCATGAGCAGAAACGTTCGGAGACCCCTGGGCGGTTTTCTCGAGACGGCGCTGGACCCCTCGCCCCCGGCGTTCCGAACGCCAGGGCAGGGGGGGGGAGCCAGCTCAGACCCCATAAAGCCGTTCGGGCCTCCGAAAGTTTATGCATGCGCGTGCGCATTCTCGTTTCCAGAAGAGGAGCAGGGATCGGAGTGAGTTGCAGGAGGCAGACCCTCAGTTTCCAGGATGGCCATTCCATTGATTGCACCAGGGCCCCAGGGCCGTGCCGAGGCTTTCAGCAGCCCGGATAGGTCCTGTATGTCAGGATTCTTTGGAAGATCGCCCGGGGAGGCAGGGGAGCGGGATGGCCAGCTCTCATGCATCATCATCATCATCATCATCATCATCATCATCATCATCATCATCATCATCATCATCATCATCATCATCATCATCATCATCATCATCATACAGCGACTTGTCGGCATTTGTGGGTTTGCATGTGGCCGCACCTCCTTGCTCAAGTTCTTGAGGGAATGCAGGCATTGTTCGAACGCCTCACGCACGATCTCGCCCGTGCCCTCTCCACGGCTCTCATCGTGCGCGGCAGTTCTCCTTCGTGTCCAGCCTGCGATTGCGTGCGTTCACCCGCGCTGCACTGCCCCGCGTTGGAGTGCCGCTGCCCAGGCGGCCTGGGGACGGCGACCCCCGCCCCCTCGGAGGCCGAGGCCGCGGGCTTCTCAGGCGCCGCGCTGGGCGGCGCGCTGCTCCTCGGCGTGCTGGGCGGCTGGTCGCTCGCTGGCTGGGCCTCGCGCTGCGCGGCGCTCTCAGCTCGGGGTAAGCCGTTCGCGCTGGAGGCGGACGTGCGCACGTCCGACTTGGCGGCGGAGGCAGCAGCGCAGGCTGCGCGTTTTCGCAGAGCGTAGTCGGGATGGCGACGCCTACTTCGGGCCAGTTCCACCTTGTGAGGTACAACGTGGGCGGGCCTGCCATGTACCACGAGCGATTGACGCTGCTGCCTGGGTACGTTTTCACGCCCGACGGTGATGACTATGCCGAGGTTGCCACCCCGAATCACGACATCCGATCGATTCACATTTTCAGTGGGCAAGGTGAGGAGCCTCCTGGGATACCGCCTCAGCACCTTTATCAGTTTCGACAGCCCCCTCGGGCAGCTGAGGTGTGGGCGGCGCTTCACCGCGCGACGGCCCAGGGGTTCGGAGCTACGCCTGCGTCGCCTTTCTGCATCGACCTGAGTGCCACCAACGTGCTGGGGCTGGCTGCGGGGGCGCTGGCGCTCCCCGACCCTGCAGCCGCCGCGCCTGGCGCGGGCGCTGGGGCCCTCGCGCCTGCGGGCGACCCAGGGTTGCCTGGCGGCGCCGCCCCCGCGGCGGGCGCCCCGCTGGCTGCTGGTGCCGCCGCGGCGCTGCCCGCCATCGGCGGCCCCGCAGCTGCTGGACACCCCGCTGGAGCTGGAGGTGTCGGCGCCCTGGTGGCCGCCCTTGGTGGCGTAGGGGCTGGAGCCCCAGCCGCCGCGGCTCCAGTCCCTGGCGCCGCGCCCGCCGCCGCTGCGCCGCCCCTCGGCACAGACCCGCGGGTGATGGCGCTGGTGCTCGACGGGCGCGGCTTTCGGGGCATCACCTTCAGCGACGCGGTGAAACTGCAGACGGAGACGGTGAGGGCCGACTGGCCAGTCAAGGGCCTTCGGACACTGCCCTGGGTCCTCGGGTTCATGCTACGTGTGGCTGGAGGCGCTATGGCTTGGCACAACAGGTGGATTGCGATGGCGCAGCTCGGGGAGCCCGACGAGTACGTGAAGCTCCACGAGACCTTGCGCCGCGTGATAGAGACCGCCCTCTGCCGCGACCAGCGGGTGATATGCGAGCTGGCCTCTTATGAGCACCTCGCCCGTCAGCTTCAGTTGATAGAGGAGCGCGTGTTCGAGGAGCGCGTGCGCAGGAGCCAGCCCGCGCCGATGGCCACGGCCCAGGCCAAGGAGCTCGCGGCAGCGGGCTACGGTTCAGAGGTCGGCCACTTCCTCGGCACGGGCGAGACGAAAGGGAACTTGTGCATCTGTCTTGCGTTGATGGATTGGATCGCCGATCAGATGAAGATGGAGGCAGCTGTCGCGAAAGAACGCCGCAAGGCTCGTGAGGAGCGAGCCTTGCGGGCGCCATGGCGCCCCCTCAGGACCCTGGCCAGGATGGGCCTCACGAGCCTGTTCCCGCCGCTCGTGAGCCTGGCCAGCATTGCCCAGAGGCCCTCGAGCCTCCGCCTGGTCTGGACGCGCCCACCCGTGGTGCCGATCGCCAGCGCGATGTTTTCCCGCTGCCTCATCTTCCTGTGGATGGGCGCCGCCGTCTTCCGCTGGGTCGCGCTGCTCGTCTGCGCGCTGCCAAAGGTGCGGGCTGGCGGGAGTGGTGCAACGAGGGGTTAACCGCTCTCAACTGGCTCCATAGTGGCCGCGACGCGGAGCCCCTCCCGCAGGTTGGTGGCGACCCGCCCGCCGTGCAGGCTGCCTCGGTGGACTACCTCTCGAGTCTGCATCGGGAGTTCGAGCTGCCTGCCGCCTACTCGGAGAGGAGCAGCGCCTGCGAAGCATCCCTGGTAGAGATGCTCGCTCAGGCTCCTGGCTACGCTGGTGACAGCGGTCGGGTCCGCCCCTACAGCCAGCCCCTCGCGGCCTGGCCCAAGTCGACGAAGGCTGTGTCCACCCCCGACGTCGTCTTGGATGCCGACTCCATCGTGCTGCAGGGTTGGAGGCAGACTATGCTGAATCCAGAGTCGGTTGCTGCGGAGCTCCGCGACGAGCTGGGCGCTCAGCGCCCGTGCGCCGATCCCGAGCTTCGCTATCAGCCCAAGTCTTACGCCCAGTTTTGGAAGCAGCTGGAGGCTCACGACATGACATCATGGAGGGCCGCCATTCCTTAGTCTTTTCACACAATCGGTTTGTTCTTCGTGGGGGAATCCAATCACATGCTTAGGCTCGTGTTCGACACTAGGCTGGCCAACTGCAGCTTTGTCACGCCGCCAGCCACCAAGCTTCCCACGCCCAGTGCGTGGGCCAGTGTTGATTGCGACGGCAGCTTCGTTTTCGCGGAAGGCGATATTCCATGTGCCTTCTACCCCCCTGCGCCTGCCGCCAGGGGTGGAGTCGCTGCTCTCGCTGCCTGCGATATCCAATCGTCGCATCGGCCTCACATCGATTCAGGGGGGGCCCGTCGGCATCCACGATTTTGTCCAGCCGTTGGCCACAGTTGTCCCCATGGGTTGGAGCTGGGCCCTTCACTTTTGCCAGAGCGCCCTCGTTCGTGCCCTAACTGACGCTGGATTCGACAGTGGTGACATGGTCGTGGTCGGAGGATGCCCTCGTAAGTTAGTCTCTCACACCGACGCCATATGTGCTGGATGCGTTGACAATTTCTGCGTTGTGCCAAAAAGCCCTGAGGTTGCCGCTCGCCGTGCTCGTGAGATCGCCGACCTTCTAACGTCCCGAGGCTTGCCTGTCCTGGGGTTCTCGGAGGCCGTCAGTAAGGGTGTCGTCACGGGCTTGCAGATTGACGGTCTCTCGGGTGTCGTTCGTGTTCGGCCCGGTCGCCTTGCCCGTGCACGGCAGGCTGTACTCGGACTCATACGACGTGGTCGGGCCTCTGCGGGGGCTCTCAGCGCGCTGGTGGGCCACTGTGCTTGGGGCATGATCTTGAGGCGGGATGTCATGGCGATCTTCAACTCAGTCTATAGGTTCATCAACGTGGCGGGCGCTCAACCCGTGCATCTTTGGGATTCTGTCGTTAGGGAACTTCGAGCCGCAGTTGCCTGGATCCCCCTCTGAAGTGCCTCTACAAGGTCCAGGTGGTCGTCTAGGGTCCACGCGTCCGACGCGTCGACGTACGGGAAGGGCGTGTGCGTCAAGGTGACCCCCCCGACCGGGTCTCGGAGGTTGGCCGCGTGGCCGAGGAGTGGAGGTACCACCAGGGCTCCAGTGTGCTCGCGAGGGCCCACGCATTCGGCCCCATTGGCCCCCATCACGATGCCGCCGACCGTGCTCCTCCTGCCGCCCCGCCCTCTGCTGCTGTTGTGTCGTCGTCGACTACGTCTAGCTTCCTGGAGGTTCCCGAGGCTGTCTTTGCGTTCGACGGCTGGAAGACGATCCACTCGAGCAGGCACACGCGGTTGGGGTGTGATATTTCGCAGTATGAGGCCGTGGCCCTGGGGCTCAGCATTCACCATGCCTCGAGAACCCTCGGAGCCCACCATCATCGCATGTTATGCCTCGTTGACCACTTGGCTCTAGCCCTGGCTGTCGGCAAAGGGCGGTCGGGGAGCCCGCATCTCGTGCGCGCGCTGAGGCGGCTCTCTGGCGTCACCCTGGCATGCGGGCTGCGGCTGCCGCTCCGATGGGCGCCTTCGGAGCGGAATGTCGCCGACAAGCCGTCGAGGGAGGGCTTCTTCGTCGGGCCGAGCTTCGAGGATTTCCTGGAGAAGCAAGTCGCGCGGCGGCCTCGTCGGGCCCAAGGAGGTGATCAAGACCGCGAGGGCTCGGAAGACCCACCCTGGGCCCCCCAGTCTCTCGAGAGGGAGTCTCTCAGTGCTGGAGGCGTCAGCCGTCTCGGCCTCCACGGGCAGGAACTACCACGACTGCGCCCAGAAGTTTCTGAGCTGGTGCCTGTGGACCGCGCGGGACTTCTCCAGCTGCGCCGACCTCGACACCGTGCTGGTGGTGTACTTCGTGCATCTGTTCCTGGACGGGTACGACAGCGCGACGGGCCGCGCCACGCTGGCCGCCCTCGATGCTGGTCGGGAGTCGGCCGCTGCCGCGGGCGTTTCGGGCGCTGCAGGGGTGGGCGACGCTCGTCCCGCCCCAGATGCGCCTGCCGCTGCCTCGGGTGGCGATGTTCGCGATAGTGGGCGTCCTCCTCGCGCAGGGCCGCCTGTCCGAGGCGGTGTTCGCACGACTGGCCTTCGACGCGTACCTCCGCCCGAGCGAGGCCTGCCGCCTCGCGGCTGCCTCGCTCATCGCCCCGCGGGTCGGGTCGAAGGACGGCTGCCGGCACTGGGCCATCCTGGTGAACGATGCAGCCAGCGGCAGACCTGGCAAGACGGGGGTGACCGACGGGAGCGCGATCGTGGACGACCCGTCGTTGCGGCCGCTGCTGGCCGCGCTGCGCGACGGGAGGTGGCGCGAGGCGAACCTGTGGACGTTCTCGCCCAGCAGGTCCGCCAGGCCTTCCGTGCGGCGCTGGCGATGCTGCAGCTCGACGGCGAGCAGACGTCGCTGTACACCCTTCGGCACGGAGGGGCGTCCGACGATCTCCTATCGGGCCGTCGGACGCGCAAGGAGGTCAAGGACCGCGGGCGCTGGCGGACGGATCAGCCCCTGAACCGCTATGCAAAGCGGGCGCGGATGCAGCAGCGGCTGGGGCAGCTCTCACCTGCACTGGTGGACTTCGGCGACAAGGTCGAGGCCAGGCTGCAACAGCTGATGGAGGTGACGGCGAGGACGGGCATCTTCCCGCTCCGCTTGCCGCCCCTGATGCCCGCGTCGGCGCCGGCGGCAGGGAAGACTGCGCTCGCGCTGACCGATCAGTGGAGGTTCGACTGAATAGGCTGTGGCGGCGTGCCCGATTGCGCGCCACTGTTTTGCTGTACTTCATCACTTTGTGCATCTGCGTGCCGACTTGGGCGCGACTGGCCTGCGAGGATCGCGGACTAGGACCAGTGGCCACCAACCTTGCCAGACATCGTGCTGAGGACGCTTCGGATCCTCGGGTTGTGCAGATGCTGCTGGGCTGGGTGCGATCGTCGGCCGTCTCGGGGCTGTGGGTGTCCTTGCCGTCGGCGACCTGGTCATCCAGCGGAGCTCGATGCCGCCGCCTGGACGCCCCGCTTCAGGGCGCCTACAGTGATGACATTACTCTTCGCGCCATTCGCGTGGCCAACGCCTTGGCAGCGTCTGTCTTTAAAGCTGATTCGAGAGTGCACGGCTCGTCCGGTGCCTGTGATTTTTTGGCACCCAGAGTCCAGCCTGATCTGGCGACATCCACTCCTTTCCTCGCTCCTCGCCTCTGCCTCCTCTTCTTGCCCCCTCGATTCCTGCGTGTTCTCGGGTCGGATTCGGCAAAGGTTGTTTTTGATCGGATGGGGCGTCCGAGATCTCAATTGCCTGTCGCGCCGTTGCCTCTGCGCCCTAGGCCTGCGTGACCGTGCCAACCGCCGCCACCTTGGCGGCCTAGGGCGCCCTGCGCTGGACGCCGCTGCACGTTGCTCAGCTCGTGGGCGCTGCAGGCGCTGACATGATAGTGGCCGCTGCTCGACAATTATCTCGCGCCGCTAGATACAAGACGATGTTTGGTCAATGAAGTATGGCGGCTGGGGCCATGAGTCGTGGCTAGCGTGACTTACCGAGTCTGTGCTTCGAGGCTTGCCGTTGCTCTCGTGCGCCGTCGCCCTTCTGCACAAAGCCCCGCATGCAGCGACTTGTCGGCATTTGTGGGTTTGCACGTGGCCGCGCCTCCTTGCTCAAGTTCCTCCCTAGGCCCTCCCGCCCAACTTGAGCCGAATAACTGTTTTTGTGCTGTGCTGACCGAGTCTGTGCTTCGAGGCTTGCCGTTGCTCTCGTGCGCCGTCGCCCTTCTGCGCAAAAAGTACCCGATGGCCTCGAGAGAGCCCCGCATCATCATCATCATCATCATCAGCAGCATCAGCATCAGCATGAGCATCATCATCATCGTCATCATCGGCATCATCAGCATTATCATCATCTATCATCAGCAGCATCATCTGCTTCAACATCCGCATCAGCGTCTGCATCATAATTCACATTATCATCACAATCAGCATCATCATCACCATCATCATCATCGTCATCATCATCATCATCAACATCAACATCAACATCAACATCAGCATCAGCAGCCTCGCCTGGGGCCATCGGCAGCGAGGTGGACGTCCGCCGCGTCCCCTTCACGGCGCCGACCGACGAGGCCGGCCTCGACACGCGCGTGTCGCGCACGCGCGCGCAGGCGGCATCCCGGCGCACATCGACTCGCGGACTGCCGCAACGCGCCAGTTGTTGAGGGTGAAGGCGTCGCCCCCCCCCCGGCGAGGGGGCCGACCTCCGCGACCGCCTCGGCCGCCCTCCCTTGCCGGAGCCCGCGGGTCCGCCGACCGCCACCGTGGCCCCTGCTCTGCAGCATGGTCAACAGCGATGATACCAGGCTGTTCGCGGTGGATTTTGACGGCCAAGGCGAGCGCTTGAGGCCCTGGCGAGAGGCGGTTCATGAGAGTACCCATGAAGATTTCAATGACCAGCCGATGGACGCTCCGCGTAACGCCATCACGACGTGCAAGAACACGTTACGCGGCGACCCTCGACTGTGACTCAGAGAGTACCTTCGCGAGAAGGTTGGCCAACACCGACCGCGAGGCGAGGCGTTGTACATGGCGGTGTGTTACGACCAGGTGAATCTCGGGGGACCGACGGTGCTGGAGGTGCCCTGCAAGCGGCTGGCGGGCATCGTGGCCGCCCATTCCAATCCGCAGCAGGTGGAGGTCGCGAAGCATTACACGGGCGAGCGGACTGCCCAGGACGTGTCCGGCCAGGCCATGCGGGCGCATGTGGCGCGCAGGATGCGAAAGGGCCGCGAAGGTCAGCAGGCGCTGCGAGACGCCCCCGCCGGCGGCCAGGATGACGTCCTCGGCGGCGGTGGCGGAGGCGGGCGCGGCAGCGGCCCGAGGAGGGCACTTTGGCCTTGCGTGCCTGTCAGGGACCCCGCCCTGAGGGGGGGGGGCGGGTGTCGCCCCTCGTGCCCCGTCGCGCCCGCTGCCGGTTTCTCTCTGGTCTTCTCGCGGGCCGGGCCTTCCCCGGGCCAGCTGGGCTGCTGGCCCGTCCGTTGGCCGTCGTGTTTAAGTTTGGCCGTCAGGGTGTCCGC